ATGTTTGACCTATCACAGTCAAGTCAGGTGTAGAGAATTCCAGGCCTTTCAAATAACCTATTTAACAACTTAATTTATTTCTCAAGTTTTGCCACTTAAACTGTAAAGCCTAGTACTCATGTCAAGGTATATCAACTTGAGTATGAGCCTACTATGACGTTAGCTTGCAACATTGATCCTCCTATGAAAAGCCTACCAATTTCCCTCCAAATACTAAGCCTGTATACTCAGTTATGGATTAAGTTTTTGATCTTGTACTTTACTCAGTTAGTTGCTTTATACATACATGCCCCAACCTAGCCCATATATGAATTTCACATAAAATTTAGAAAAGACAACTTAAAACAATTATCAATTTAGAAGTCAACTTACTTATTAAAGGATTCCAATTGGGCTCACGGAGCACCACAACTCATATTTACACAATGAGGTATTCTAATTTCTAAAACATCTATCACTTTCATTTAGTTTTATGTATTTTAACAAAGACATGTATCTTCACCACATGTCTAACAGCTTAACAACTCAATCAATTATAACATCATACAATTATATAACATCATCATTTGTCAACATACAACTTAAAACATCATCTTACAACTTAATTAGCTTCTTCAATACTCATCATAGACAACTTTAAACATGCATGTCTCAACTTTGCCCATGTACAAATTTCACATAAAACCTAGAAGAAACAACTACCAATTTAGAAACCAACTTACTTATTGAGGAGTTCTCAATTGGGTTTGCAAAACACCACAACTTAAATCCACACAATAAGATATTTTAATTTCTAAAACACCTTTCACTTTCATTTGGTTTTTATGTATCTCAACAAAGATATGTATCTTTACCACATGTCTAATAGCTCAACAACTCAATCAACTATAACATCATACAATTATATAACATCATCGTTTGTCAAGATACAACTTAAAACATCAACATCTTACAACTTAATCAGCTTCATCAATACTCGTCATAGACAACTTTAAACATCATCGTATACCATCATTCAAATAAACAATTCATCATACTTTAACATGTAACAACTTAGAACATCATGCTTCATTTCAACATATCACACCTAACACCACTCTTTGTGCGCTTGACACTATCAAGACAGGGGAGCTTTCTGTCTCCCCCACGCCCGAAGTTAATTCACCTATAGAGAACTTTTGAGTCTCTCGTGCTTAGCATGACAAAATCCACACCCAGCTTCACTTAGGTAGAGAGTTTCTACTTAACTGATGTTCGACGTCACTCTACTTGTGCTCGACATCATTTAGGTAGTGATCCACTAACTTTATCACCTTAGGCACCATGCCTCTAGAGCTCAACATCACCAAGTTAAAGAATTCTCAAGTTTTCACACCTAATGTCACTTGTTCCACACCTAGCATGACTAAGTTAGAGGATTCCTCACTTATCAACGCTCAACAGTACCAATCTCACACTCGACTCAATCAGAACAGAAAGCCCCCTAACTCAAGTTATGCTTAGCGTAATGAAGGCGCCCTTGGTGCGATGCTTGTTTATACACATAGTAGAACCATCAAATGTTTCAAAACCTACAATTCAACCAACCTATACAACATGCAAACCAACATACCACATATATGCACCATAAACAACACCAAACCAACCCAAAACAACACATGCAAACATCCAAAATCAGAATCATTTTTTTTCTTCTTACAAGTACTTATTGTGAAGTTTACCAAACAGAGTGATGACATTTAGAATTTTTAAGAGCACCTTCAAGAGCACTTTTCCAACTACACTTAGATTCATAATTTTCACCACTCTAATCATGCAATAATGAATTTAGGTAGCAAAAATAATAATTATGCAACATCACAATACAATTCACAAAGTTTCCCTTACTTCAACTCCAAGCACAAGAGAATAAGGAGGAAAAGGAAGAACTTTGGACCATCGTACAACTTCCACCAACTAAGATTCTCCGCTACTAGCCTTGAATCTTCAACTTAGCTGAGCATTTCAATTGAAAAAAGGAAAAAAAAATGAAGGATTTCCGGTGAAAAAAGGATGAAGAAAGACCTAGCTAGGTTCTAGAAAGTTTGTTTATAACTTTTATCTATGATTTCTTAAAACTTGTTGGGATTCTCATCTTAAGAAAAATCATATATACTATTCATAATGTTGAACCAACTTAACTCTGTCTGAAATTATATTAGAGACAACTTAACTCTTAAGAGTCTTTTAACTTTAAAGCATTAAAACAATAGCTGGATAATATAATCATATATCAAATACAATTGATTTTTAACATCTAAAATAGTATTTCAATATATATATATATATATGTATATATATATATATATATATTTATTAGAGCTGTCAAAATGGGCTCAGCCCGGTGAGCCAACCCGGCCCACCACGGGTTCGAGCCGGGTTGGGCTAAATTTTTTTTGCAAATTTCAGTGTGGGCCAATTTTAAACCCGGCCCACTAACAACCCGGCTCACCCGGGTTCAACCCGTGGTGAGCCGGGCTGACCCACCAGCCCATAAAAAAAAAAAAAAAATTTCTGCTATTGGGTTGGGCCAAATAAAACTTCATAGACCATCATAGGTTCTCAATTTTATGTATTTTTTCTTCAAATTATGTAATTAGTGTAGGAATTTATTTACTTTTCTCTAGAAAAGCTTATGTGCATACTATTTTTGCAGGATTAGGCATTAAATTTGATTACATTTTTTTAAATTAGGTGATTTTTTCAAATTAGGTGAGCCAACCCGTTTAGCCCACCAACCCGTGGTGGGCCGGGCCGGGCTCAATTTTTTCCAGCTCACCAATAAACGAGCCGGGTTGGGTTGGCCCACCAAAGGCTCAACCCGTGGTGGGCCGGGCCGGGCCGGGCCGGGTTACCCGTTTTGACAGCTCTAATATTTATATATATTATAGTATAATTTATTTTAAAATATTTTGTTTATTATGATTGTTAATTATATGAAATACGCATTTATTTAAAAATATATTATAAGCGGATTAGAACTCTAAATATAAAATGATATTTCTATTTGTATACTATTTTTTTCATCATACAACAATGTCAACGGTAAAATTTAGAACTTTTGACCCGATTATTTACATTTTCTATCGTTAAACTGACAATATTTTAGTATATTTATTGTATAAAATAAAGAACTTTTATTAGAACTAAAATTTATAATAAAAATATGGCTTAATTGCATATAAAAATATGGCTTAATTGCATTTTTGATCCCTTAAGTATAACAATTGTGCAATTTTGGTCCCCAAAATTTTAATTGAGTAATTTTAGTCCTTAAAAAATTGTAATTGTGTGATTTTAGTCCCTCAATTTTTAATTGAACAACTTTAATCCCTCAAATATCATAATTATGCGATTTTAGTCTTTTCTATTAAAAATTTAATAATTTTAAAATTTATATATATATAATGTTTTAAAATTATACAATTTTTTACTTATTTAAGTTAACGTATATTATAATTTTTTGTTAATGTATCAAATGATATATATTTATTATTACTAAATAAATAAAATTTATATATTATTAATATTTTAATATTACTGATAAATTAATATCAATAATATTTTTACTATATTTATAGATAAATTAATATTTTGATAAATATAGCTTAGTATATGTTAATATAATTTTACAAAAATATAAATATACTAGATCATATCATATGATATCTTATCATATCATATCTTATCTCAGGCCCAAGGCCCAAGACAACCCTAATTCACACAAAGGTATGTGCATTATTTATACGAGACTCATACTCCCACAAACACTAACTTTGGCATCGGAGTCTCTTTTGCAGGTACCTCCCCCATCTTGGAGCACCAACGCATCAGCAAAGGAGGCTCATCGATCTTACTGGACGGTCCACCCCTACGACCAAATTCTGGTAAGAACACTAATTAATAATATTATTGATATTAATTTATCAGTAATATTATAAAAATAATAATATATAAATTTTATTTATTTAATAATAATAAATATATATCATTTAATATAATAATAAAAATTATAATATACGTTAACTTGAATAGATAAATAATTATATAATTTTAAAACATTGTATGTATATATATTAAAATTATTAAATTTTTAATGAAAGAAACTAAAATGATACAATTATAATATTTGAGGGACTAAAATTGTTCAATTAAAAATTGAAAGATCAAAATCGCACAATTGTAATCTTTAAGGGACTAAAATTACCCAATTAAAACTTTAGATATCAAAATTGCACAATTACAATACTTGAGGAATAAAAAATGTAATTAAGCCTAAAAATATTCTTAAATATAAACTGTATTATATTTAAATATTTTTAACATACAAATTATATTTTTAAAATTATAATAAATAATTTATATTGTGATATAAAATATAATATACATATAAAGTAATATATAATTTTTTTTACAATGTAAAGTTTATTTTTGATAGCTAAAAAAATCATAAAAACATTATCATTAAAAATATTAAAATATTCAAACATAAGAAGTTAAAAAATCTTAAAATAGCATCATTAAAAAAATACATAAAAACATTACGAATGATATTTTTTTAAAGGAATTATTGATAACTTTTTAAATGTTAAAATATAAGAAATAAAAAGGTTAAAAAAGCTTAAAATATTATCATTAACAAAATACACAAAAACATTATCATTAAAGAATATTATTAAAAAACTATTACCCAAAATAATTAATCAAATTTTTATAAAAACAGAAGATTTGACTACGGATCGAAGAAAAACTGATTTTAGATATCAATTATACTCTAATATAAAATAAATATAAGATATATGTGTTTTTTTAATAATTTTTTTAATAAAGAAGACCCGGTACGATTGCGAGAAAAAAAAAAGAAAAAAAGAAAAAAAGAAAGGATATATCAGGGATCGAGTTACGAAGAGCAAAACTCAATATAAAATTAAAATCACCAACAAATAGAAATTAAAAAAAAATAAAATCAAGAGGAAAAAAAAAAGGAAGAGAGAGAGAGGCAAAGGCGAAGTTTGGAAGATTGAAACCCAGTGAGTGAGGTTCGAGATTTGTGAGCAATTCGTGAACTTTGCGAAGGTCAGAGTTCAATCAATGTATTAGTCCTTTCTTTTTCCCCCAAAACACTTACTCTTTATTCTTCTTCATTCTGCTTCATTCCATTGCAATTTTGAATTTTTCGTTTCTTCGATTTCGGTTCTTTTTTCCCCCTTTTGTCGCACCTCAAGTTTTGATCTCTTCCCCTCTACTTCGAATTTCGGAATTTGAAGTTTGAAGGTGTATAATTCGGTGTAACAATGAGGTTTTAAATTGGTGCAGTGGTGTAATGTTCGCTTCGCGCTGTTCAAAGCGACAATGGCGTTTCGGACCCGGGTTTGGTGATTCCAACTTAGGGTTTTGATGTGCCATTCAATTTAATGAATTTGAGTTTGATTTGCGGAAATTCGTGCTCGGAGTTGGGGAGTTCCGTAGCGGTTTGATCTCTAGGGTTTTGGGGTCGGGAAGATGGGATTTCGCTATGCATTGTGTGTTCTGTTTGGTTGCTGAATTTGTGTTCTTTTGGGCGTAAGGGTAACCCTGTTTTTGTGCAGAATTGCAAGTTTTACTGTGGGTTACTCTGTCATTAGTATCGCTCATGCATCTGGTTGTTGATATATGCACGGATTGTAGTTAGCCGATTTGGAAATTGGAATAAGCTGATATGGGGGAGGGGAAGTTTGGTGTTCTCTGGAAGCGGAAATAGCTGCAATTTGGGTCAAATTGAGGCTTCTGGTGGGTGGGTTGCTGTTTTTTTTTTTATTTGTTTGGCGTTGTATGAATCTGTCTCGTGAGAAATGCAACCGCATCAGAGCTCAAGAATTGATTTGGGTGAATTGAGAGCACAGATTGTAAAGAAGCTTGGAGCGGATAAGTCGAAGCGGTACTTTTATTACTTGAACAGGTTTTTGAGTCAGAAGCTAAGCAAGACTGAGTTTGATAAGTTGTGTTTTCGAGTGCTTGGTAGGGAGAATCTTCCGTTGCATAACCATTTCATAAAGTCAATTTTGAAGAATGCCTGCCAAGCCAAGACCCCGCCACCAATCCATCCATCAGGTCCCCTGAAGTCTGGAGAACATGCTTCAGATATATCTCCTGGTAGAGAAGATGGACACGAACAGAGCGTTGCCAGCTTCCAAAATCAGAATTCCAAAGCGCCCTTTTGGTCAAATGGAGTTTTACCAGCATCCCCTAAGGTTAGGTCTGGAATACGCGATTGGAAGCTAAGAGATAGACCAAGCCCCCTTGGACCAAATGGGAAGGTTGACTCTGTTTCTCACCAATCCATGGGGACAGAAGACTGTGACAGTAAGGTTGATATGGAAAATGGAATTCATACACCATGTGATTATCAGAGACCAATGCAGCATCTTCAAGCTGTTGCTGAACTACCTGAGAATGAAAGGGGAGATGCTGTTCGGCGACCTGCAGAAAAACCAAGAATACATGGGAAAGGGCCAGCTGAAATGTCAATCGTTGAAGATGGGGAAGAAGTGGATCAGTTAAAACGCCTAGGTTTCTCTAGAAGTCCCTTGATAGCACCACTGGGGATTCCTTATTGCTCAGCAAGTGTAGGGGGAGCTCGCAAAGCATTGCCAGTGAGTAGTGTGGGTGATTTTGAAAATTGTTGTGACAGTGGTAGGTTGTCTGATACAGATACACTGCGGAGGCGCATGGAGCAGATTGCTGCAGTACAAGGTCTTGGAGCTGTTTCTATGGAATGTGCCAATATGTTGAATAACATGTTGGATGTGTACTTGAAACGGTTGATAAGGTCTTGTGTTGAATTAGTTGGAGCTAGATCTACAAATGAGGTGAGGAAGCCACCTGTTCCCAAACAGCAGATGCAGGGTAAGGTCATCAATGGCATGTGGGCAAATAATCATATACACATGCCTGGTGGGTCAGCAGAGTCTGTTCCTGAACACAGACCACCATGCTCAGTTTCTTTGCATGATTTTAAGGTTGCCATGGAACTAAATCCACGGCAACTTGGAGAAGATTGGCCACTGCTGTTGGAGAAAATATCCATGCTATCATTTGAGGAATAACATCTTTATGAAAATTTGTTTTTTTATGCAAAAGGTCTTTTAGTTCTGATGGCTCAGCAATGATTGGTGATCAGTGGTTCTGTTCTCTGTGCCAGTATGAACCAGATGTTGACAAATAGATACTTCTAGCCCTTTCAAGATGAAACATTGGTTTTGATCTTCAAATTGTCTTATCTCTGTATTCTCTGCTATTTGTAGGGCTTGGATAGGGGAGAGATTTATTTAACTGCAACCAAGGGTACTATCAAACGAAACCCAGGATTGGTTGCACTGTTGTATGTTTTTAGCATTCATGTTGGCTGTATTTGCCATTACTAGAGATCTCAACGGTTTTGTTTGCAATACAGCCAATGAGAAAGAAAACTAAGAAAGTTTTGCAGGGATACTGTCGTGTAGCTGGGATCAAGGAGTTATGACTTGTATAAGTGCTGCAGGGTTGCTCTGTATGTATTTTTAAAATCTGAGGATTGATTGAAATTCAATATCAATAACACATTAACATCTAAAATTTCCTGGTCATTTTAGTTTTATTTTATGGTTCAACTCCTTGATTCCAAATCCACCAATCCCTAAGAAATGCTTTTGTTTTCTAGTTTTGTGTAGATTTGTAACACACTACCTTTTTAGTGCAAATTAATTTGGTGACTGTAATTGTTATTTTCAAAATTTCAATAAAATGTGAGATTTATAAATCTTGACATATCTCCTTTTCATCGATTTAATGTTCAGAGTCGTTTTCTATTTCATGAATGCCTATTGAGGTGTCCAATCCATTTGATATTTCATTAGTTTTATTATCTCAGTTTTATTCTGTGAATGAAAAGGGGTCGTATTTTCTCCACGTATTAGTTGATCATTAACCAGTTTGATGAGTTTGTTTAAAATTTGGCTGATGAAAGTTGCTAGTACATTTTATATATTGCAATCATAATGGCAACTCTCCACCCTGTATCCGAAGGGGAAGCCTTTGGTGTCATTGTCGCTGCAACTCTCCACCATGCTCGCTGAAACCAACAAACCCTTCCAATGTTGCTGCTTGCATGTACGGGTAAGGGCCCTTCGTAAACCCTGGTAGCACTGCCAGCAACAAACCAAGCCGGACCCTGAACCACAACCCCACATTCTGTAGCATCCACATGGGAATGAGCATGGAGGTCCTGAAGCATAGTGACGTGAAGCATGAATTGTTGAGTTGGAGGCTGGCGCCAGAATTGGAGAAGGATAGCTGTTGCAGTTGAGGTTGCTGAAGTCAGTGCAACCAAGGTGGTTGCAACAATGGCTAGTGAAGATGACGGAGATGGGTTGGAGAAGGTGAAATCTGTGGAGTGTGGGATATGATGAGAAGAGTCCAGTATAAGATTATTCAATATAGATTAATCTAGCGACTATTGTTTGATGATACATTTTCAACTGATGTTTCTTCTGTTCTTGCATCGAACACATATGACACATGGGTGGCTAATTGTGTATTTTAATTGGTTTTTTGTTGTATGCCTGTTGTTTCCATAATTTATATTTATAGAAACTGAGCTTCAAGTGTAATTGGCCAGTGGCAATAATCTATAGTATGGTGCAAAATATGCTACCCATATCAGGCTAAATTATGGAAACTGATTTAATCTCAATGCCAACGAGTAATGACCCTTGAAGTTTCCTTGTTTATTAATAATGCTTGAATATTTAGGAATTTTTTATCCTATGCTATCCTTTGGGTTGGAACAAGATGATACTGGAAGATTTGTGTTTATCTACTGACTTGGTATATTTATTGTCTAGAATATTGAGGTTGAATTTTATTTGCACTTTTTCTTATATATTTGATGGCCGTGCATGATCTGAGTTGCTGCTGTGCATGGCATCTTGTCATTTTTCTGCAGATGCAACCAAGTTTTGGAGTTTCTTTTAAGATTCAGGTAACTGGTAGAAGATGACGTTACGTTGGTTTGGGAAGATTTACATATAACATATGCCTGGCCTTTAAAAAACTGCAAATAGCCACTTCCAGCTACTCTGTAATTTTCTGTTGAGTGTCAACACCTCAGTTTAAGGTTTATAAACAGAAATTGGAAGGATACAGGAGTGGCCATCTGCAACTTTATCAAAATTCAGATAATGATTTCCAAAAGGCTAAAGTTGAAGCGGGTAGTCGTGTACTTCGTATTTTTCAAAGACTGAAGTGTGCTATTCTGCTGTGTATTTGTTACTTGTTGACTTGTTACGAATATTTATATCGATTACCTGAATAAGGTGATGTGCGCTCTCTGTATAAAGTGGAACAAACACACTGTTCAGACTTGGCTGATTCTAGGTCTATTCTGTAGGTTTTCAAGTGAGTACTTGCATAATGATGTTTAGTGTTAGATTCGTGAAAATTAAGAATGCCCGTGCTGAAGAGGGGTAAAGGGGAAATACTTGATGCTTTTGACTGTTTTTCTCTCAGATCTCTATTTTTCGCTGTGCATATCTGAAGACTCTAGTAGCTTGGAGAAACTTGGTTAAGAATACACACATTTTCAAAATGGTCGTCCAATTGATTTGAAATTTATTTCTTTTAGAACTGCCATCTATTCATCAAGTTCATTGTATTGAAAAATTAGATTTATCTGCTAGATTTTGCTCTAATTGTGGGTGATATTTATTTTTTATTTTGTCACTCAATTATAAAAGATTGAGTAGTTCATTGGCAGTTGGGTAAAATTTGGAGGTCCTATCAATGTATGTCTGGATGAAACGTAAAAGCAAGATGAACGAAAACATGCAATGCCATGCCTTAAGTCTCCTAAATTATGGTGATCCTGAGTTTAACCAGTAGATGACTGCTATTATAAATGTTTTCAGTCTTTTCTATTAGTATCTTTATTTAAATATTAAATATAGTAGCCATTTAAATAACATTTGTCGGTTATCGCATTTTAGTTATCTGTTGAAATTGAGACTGACAGTTTAATGCTGCTGGTTTAAAGTCTGGTGACTGGGCATTATTTCTCTCATTTATTTTTTATGATTGCATTTTCCTTGTTGAATTTAGCAAACATACCAACACCTATGCTGCCAAAAAATGCAATCTTTTGAGCAACAGAACTTTTTGTACTGTTCCCACTTCCCAGTACATTTCTATTCGGACTTCCCAGTACATTTCTATTCGGTTGCTCATGTATGGTATTAATTTGAAGATTATGTCACCAGTGCAACAAGGAGGTTTTGCACTTTTACTCCTTCACAACCAACAACCAGTGGCAGGAAATGGAAGCTATAACCTTGACATGAATACTGTGTTTGGTTCTACATTATCCTTGCAATTTTTATGTCAACCAAAAATTAAGAGATTTTTTTTAGTTCATTAAATGTCTCTCAACCGATTATGACAGACTACGTTAAGTAATAACGATTTTGTTCGGAAGTGAATAGTAGATGGATGTATGACTTGAATCAACGTGTATCCAACCAGGTGCTTTGAAATTGTAGTTTGTGACTTGGTGATGATTTTTTTTTAATTTTGTCAGAAATTAGTCTCCCTCAAAGTTTTATCTGTATTAAAATTATCTGTCACATAATTTTTTTTATTTATTAAATTTGAGACTCGAACTCAAGATTTTAAAATTAAGGACTAACTCTAACACTGATTAGATCAATCAAAGTTAGTGTGTAAGTTGATAATGATGCATATCCCTTATGAATTTATGATTGTATAATTTTTGGAGTGGTTAAATGATTTTTTTTAATCTTAAAACCTGTCATTTTCACCATCTGATACTTTTTAAACGAATAAACAAATTTGAAATCTATTTTCTTCGTCCTTGAGAACTTGAAAAACATGTCACTACAGCTTTTTGTGATGCATATGAATGAATGATTGAAACGTGAGATTTCTTTATAGGACATAAACATCATGTAATATTGTTGACATACATCTTAATTCTTAAATATCAAACAGATGTGTTCTCATGACCTTCATCACTTTGTTAATACATAGAGAGAAAGGACCTAGGCTACCTTTTATTTACTAGCTTTGCAATATTGGATTTTGTCGTGTGTATCGTGTGTGTTCTTTTGATTTTCAGAGTGAGCAATACCCAATATTGTAGATTAATAGTAGAAAATAAAAGATAAATAAAAATAATTTTCAATTGTTATAAAGAATTTTCTTCTAATCAATGTTCCCATTGATTAAAGAATCAATAATTATTGAAAATTATAATAAAAATATACTGATAACATTTCTTAAAAAAAAAATACAACTAATTCTCTGACTAGTATCTTTAGAGTATGTATATATGCTACATCAAAGTATATAGTAATTTTTTTTTCAACAAAAATTTCACCTTACTTTTAACATGCTAAACCAAAGATGTTTTTGAAGAGATACTTCAATGATGAATCTTTTATTTTCTTAGATCTAAAACATGACGCTGCTTCTTTACACAAATTATTGTTGTGCATCATTCTTTAGTCCTATGAGAAGGTACATATTTATTTTCTCATTCCAAAGTTGTCAAGTATACTTTCTACCGAATGTCTAACATGGAGACATGATTAATTTCCCCAATAATAGACAACATAGTTGACCATAGATGTATTTATTTAATGTTTTATTATGTTTATTTTATTTATATTTTTATATTTTATTTTTAACTAATGATGAAATATACAATAAGATATTAGATTATTTTGAATTTATTTTAAAAAATGACAATGTTAATACAATTCTGTTTAAATAAAAAAGGTCGTTAACATGCAGAAATTTAGTAATGCGTTGACAATTAAATATGTTAATCGCATATTTTCGTATGTTAGCATTTTGGTCTCACACAATAGTTTGTGACAGCTCAAACAGAATGAGAATATGACCATACAAGCATCATACAAATTTTGGATTTTGCACACAAGTGCACACTGTATAGAATTCAATAGTTTGCAACCAATTTGAGATTTTCAAATGTTATGATCTTCAACAACAAATTGCAATTGTTCTTATATCTCGGGTCTAAGGTTAAAATGCTACTATATAATCTTTGACGTGCTTTGTATGCTTACAGGTTACAGCAATGAATTTGGGACACTATTTTGCCTTGTATACTTGCAACCTCATTTTAGATGTATTGCCGTGAAGAATATTTATTTTTAATTCATCTTCGAAATCGATAAGAGTGATTGCAGGGAGGTGAATGTGGAAATTAAGATGTTAGAGATAAAAATTTCGTATTTGTTTGAATTATAGTTAAAAAATTAATTTAAATTTAGAATTTATTTATAACAACTTGAAAAAAAATAGACATTATAACTTTTCATTCAACTTAAGTTTGCCTGTAATTTACATTTACCAAAATAGAAAAAATTTGTCAAATATGTAAGTATTACATTCAAAATTAGTTAATTAAGATTACAAACTTCAAACATATAATCAAACATAATCTAAAATGTTAATTCAATGAGCATTAAGGTGCTTTGAGGAGTAATTTGCTAGGTAAAGAGTTAAGGTACATGCATAATTTTTCAATTTTGTAAATTTCTTTTTGAATTTAAAAACGTGACATGTTTATTTACCATTAGATAAGTAATCCCTATTTTTTTTCCAAGTACTACCCTTTATTCTTGGTTAAAGAAAAAGTAAGAATGATAACAACTTTAAATTTTGGCTAGAATTTTAAAATATTTATTTAAAACTACATCTAAAGTTTTTTTTTTTTTTAATTAGGTGATAATTAAAGAAGCAACATCTATAACTTACCCACTATTCCTAAATATCAGGTATTGAAGAGCAGCAAACACCTCACTCGTAATAAACGTTATACTATAACGAAAGAAAAAGAGCAACTTCCTTGCCCAACTTTGCTTTTCCTACCAAATCCTTATTTATGGAATGGGGAAAAAAAGTTAGGAGGAAGCCTGTATAGAACTAAAAGATTATAGCCGATGCTTAACAAGTTCCAGTCCAACAAGCCAGTGGCTTGGATTATTGTATAATGGGATGAAGATATTTGCTATGTACAAATGATCAATAAAAATAAGTAAGGAGTAACTGTATTTTGTACAGAAGTAATGAAGAAAAAAATGAACAGAAAGAGGGGGTATAAAGAAATCAGTCTCCCTCGTCTGGCCTAGATTGTGATTGTAATTGTTATTGATGGGATCATTGGGATGGGGATGGTGCCACTGATGCTTTGCAAATAGGGCACCAGTTCTTTAGCCGTAGCCACTGCTGTATGCAAACCGCATGATACATGTGTTCGCATTGCAAACTTCCCACTTCATCCGCAACCACATATTCTTCCTACAAATCAAGACAAGTTATCCAAATCAGATGTTGTACAATAATATATCAGCTTGAGAGACCCTTTTGGCAATATATTGGTCGACTTTCTATCTTTACAACGAAAAATATTAGTTTCAAATTTCAATTGGACAGAATTTGGCAGATCCTTTTGCCAACCAACATTTAATTAAGCTCTGCTGGAATCAAATACCAGTTTTTGTGATATTGTCAACCGACTACAACAGGACCCAGGTAGATCATCAATCCTAATGGACAATAAGCTTATAGCCATGATGGTGCTTAATGCACCCTGACTGCCATGAAAGGTACAAAAAGCTTCATTTAAAGAGAGAAAAATACCTGGCAAATGCTGCATTTGGTATCACTATCATCCTTATCTTCATTATCATCCTTATCTTCATTGCAACTCTCAGCTGCAATGTCTGAGGGTGAGGACTGATAGAAACTTTTCTTTAGGCATTCTGATAGTGCTTCCTCTGTCAGAGCTGTGCTCACAGTGCCCATCCTCTCTTCCAGAGCCAACAGTTGCTGTCATTTATAGAATGATTTGGGACGTGAGAACAGTTAGAAAAAAATGAAATTAAAACTGCACAATAACAAGGATAACAATCCCTTTTGAAAGCCATCTCCTGGCACTCAGCTAAAATTCAAACTATTCCCTCAAAAGTTGAAGGTACTAACAATAAACGGCACTTAAAATTATGTTAAAATCTTCCATATTGTTTTAATAGCATGTATTTTAAGAATATTTTCATCCAAATCTGTAGTAATTACTAAACTATCAAACCACAGTAGCTATTATTAGAAAAAGAAGAGGAAAACAAGCAAACAAATACTACAAACTGAATTGTAGCACCTTATGACGTTAACAAACCTCATATGACATGTTATCAATGTCCAATCGCATCTCTCTATGTGGGTCGTAGAAATTTAGTCCGGTAAGGAACAAGTTGGACTCCAGTAATCGAATTTGCTGCAAAGATGCCAAATGAAAGTATCAAATAACTGGTAGATTACGTCAAATAAACTTTTAATCAAGAACTACCTCGTGTGTTAGCTCAACATCTTGTTCAATTCTCTCAAGTGCCAACAATACCTAAATAAAATTATGAACAATTAATTTAGTTATAAACTCTCACATTAAAGACTGATAAAAAAATGTAATTCTCAAGTTAATAATGAAAATTACCTCTGCAATACTATCCATGTTGTAACGTCGTCGGAAACTATCCAGATTCATAAGAGAATGAGTGAGGCCATATTCCGAAGGAGATACAGGCATAACACCATATAACTCCTCGCTGCTAGTACTTGGTCTACTGTGAGAGCCAGGACAACTTAAGGGACTATCTACGGAAGTATGGTGTGATGCACCTGGAGCATTAAGACCACCAGAATGAGGCAAAGAAGGTATCATGACGAGGGACTCATTGGGTGACACGGGATTAGCATTTCCTTGGATAGAAAGCCTTCCCCTGGCCTGACCACTAATTGCTTTTCGAGTTCTAACTGGTGCCATGTTGCTGTCTGACCTGTCCCTGTGAGGAGTATTCCTAGACATTCTTGAATCAGAGATAGATATGCCACTTCTGGAGCCAGAATTCCGTCCTTCTAATGAAGACCCACTCATTTTCTTCCCTCTGGCAGTGGAACTACTTTCCCCTTCACAATTTCTCTTTTTTATCATATCCTTCCTTCTGTTAAGGGTTGAATCTGAAGGTGAACAACCAGCAGGAACAACATCAGAAATAGAGTTGCATCTGAGGTTCCTCAATCCATACCTACTGGTATTAGCACGTGTCACTGGACTGGTGCTTTTAATTTCTTGACCACGTAATCCAGGCTTTGGGTGAAAATTCCTCCGAGATCTTGTATTGGATACTACACTAGAGCTTCCTACTTCCATCATGACATTACCAGACACTGTATTTTCCACTCCAGCTTGAATCCCTGTCTGATTTTTTTCAGAGGGAGGAGTGAGTTTTGAAGCTTCTGATTCATCCTGTACACTACTAGTCTCAGACGTATCTGTCTCTAACTGAGATGATGATGACTTCCGAGGCTTTATAAGCGGTTTTCCTGGGGTACTAGTCTTGGAAAAAGTTCTAGAGGAGCTTCCAATTGCTTCCTTGCCAGCTGAAGAAGATTGCATTGAAGTTTTCAAAGATTTACCCTTTTCAGAAGAACCAATTTGAGCACCTTTAGGAGAGTTGACTCTGCTACTGCAGGTAAGACGACTGCAAACCTGACCATTTCGATCTCTAGCATTAGCGGTGTCTCTAAACACATGGCCCATCCCCTTTCTAGGGACTACCACCCCATCAGTGGCTCTTTTACCAGAATATTCATCCATCAATTGTGTACTTCCTTCAAATCTGTAACATGTTGGCATTGTGTATTAGATAATCAATTAATCAAAAACTTAATACATACTGTATAAGACAACAATTTTACAAGTATCTTAGTAGCAATGACTTCTATGTAGAATTCAATTCAAGCAGCAACATAAAAGACTGGTCAGACTCGGAGATAGAGACTCCACCCATAGTGCATCAATTTGGGTTCAGATACCATCAAGGAATAGGACAATTTTCCCACTAATTTCTACAAAATGTCATAAACTTGACCTGTACTGTACAATTGCTAAATTTCTTCTTAGCAATACTTTCTTTATAATCTCTGGTAATTAATTCTACACTGAAATAACATAAACTTTTATTTACTTAAAAATTGGAGTTATACGAAATATTTCATTTGGATTCTTTAAAGGGGGTGGGGGATTCAGATGAATTTAAACAAAGCCCTTACAGCAAGTATATGCAATAGTTGGAATTTTAAGTGAAAGGGGAGAAAAACAAATATTTTCAGCAATTTAAAAGATTAACCAGAGGTCATAAGACAAAGTCCTTGTTAACATTTTCTTGGTGTGTTAGGTAGGTAAAAGCAGCCTATCTCAGTGTGCACTTAGAAATCCCTTTGATTAGAAAATTCGATCAATGGAAAACATTTGAAACATTTGAGCTATTCTCATGTCAAATTTATCCTAAGAGAGATTTATTTCTCAGAATTGATTACTTAAATTTTGTAAGGTATTCCTGGTGTAAAAAAAAATATCATAATCAGGGATAAGGCAAATACTCGGATAGTCAGTTTATCACAATAACTAAATAAATAAAATCTCGTGTGGTCAGAATTCCAAGAAATATATTTGACAGACAAGCCAAGGCTTTCCACCATAGTTTTTTTCCCCCTCAGTTTCCCGTGAACCAACAGGGTGCTAACCTATCCCTATAAGCATGATTCTCTTTTAATTTATGAAACGAATTTCCAGGCAAAACAAGCCAAAAAGGAACTGAAACAGAAAATAACAAACCAATACACGATCAGATGACGATGAATCCCAGCCTTCAGAAACCATGATCAGGCTAACATTTTTCACAACGAAACAAAGAAACTCAAAGCCAATCCATTATTGGACTTCCATCAAAAAAAGGGAGCAAAACAAGATATTGTTTTTAAGAGTAAGTGAAGGAGAAAGGAAGAAGAAGAGTAAAAGAGGCGCGAATGGTCGATTCCAGAAAAAGTGGGAGAACGCCTCGTTTTGAAAGGACGAAGATTTGCATCAAATTTTCTCCACACAATCACAAAGACAGGGTCTCCGCTATTTCAGCGCTGAAACGAAGCTCAACACTAACCACACCATACTCACCCCCAAACCCAACCAATTCACCTAAATAGAAAAAAACTCCACGTATTCATCACGCAACCAATCATCTTCATCGATTCATTTCATTCTTAATACCAAAACATCACAATCAAAACTATCATCGAAATATAAACGAAAAAAATATATATGAATCGTCCGTTTTTTGAATTAAGGTTGATCGAAATTTGAATTAAGTTTCTACCTTTTGTGGTGGCTATTGCGATTGTTCTGAGTTTGAAACGTGGAAGGAAGAGAGAAGAGAGAAAGGAGTTTGTTGAAACAGAGAGAGAGAGAAAGAGAGAGAAGCAAAGTGCAGTATTGTGAGCCAATGAACCTCTTTTAATAATAATAATAATAATAATAATAATAATAATAATAATAATAATAATAATAATAATAATAATAATAATAATAATAATAATGGGCTTTGAATCGAATTAATATT